CACTATCCAACTTCTCTTTGATGAAGAACCTATCGATCTCGATGTGTTTGGTTCTATCATGCTGCACTGGGTTGTTGGCAATACTTATAGCTGACTTGTTGTCACACCATAACTTCATCTTATCTCCTTGATCCAGCTTCAGCTCCACCAGCATACTCTTCAACCATAGCAACTCAGCAACTCCTAAGGCCATAGCTCTATACTCTGCCTCGGCTGTCGATCTCTCCACCACTGACTGCTTCTTGCTCTTCCACGAGACTAAGTTACCTCCTATAAAGATGCAATATCCTGAGGTGGACCTCCTGTCATCAGCACAGCTAGCCCAGTCAGAGTCGCAATAACCCTCGATGTTCACATGTCCATTCTTTCTGAATATCAGCCCCTTTCCGGGGGCACTCTTTAAATATCTCAGAATCTGGTACACAGCGTCCATATGACCCTTCCTCGGATCGTGCATGTAGCGACTCACCACGCTTACTGCAAAGGAGATATCAGGACGTGTGTGACTCAAATAGATCAGCCTTCCCACCAACCTCTGATATCTGTCACGATCAACTGGTTCTCCAGCCTCAGCACCTAGCTTGAACCTCTGGTCGATCGGTGTAGTTGCAGGTTTGCACCCTAACATTCCTGTCTCTTTGAGAAGATCCAGTGCATACTTTCTCTGGGATAGGATGATCCCTTCCGCTCCTCGAGCTATCTCTATTCCAAGAAAGTATCTAAGCAAGCCAAGATCTTTCACCTCAAATTCCTTACCCAGTCTCACTTTGAGTTGGGCAATCTCCTTCTCATCATCCCCTGTAATAATCATATCATCCACATATACCGCAAGCATAGTAATGTGGCCTCCACTCCGTCGAAAGAACACTGTATGGTCGGCGTTGATCTGTTGGTATCCCATACCAATCATAGCCCTTCTGAATCTGTCGAACCAAGCACGGGGAGATTGCTTCAGACCATAGAGAGACTTCTTCAATCTGCAGACCTTTCCCACTGTCTGATCTGTACCAAATCCTGGTGGTATCTCCATGTATACCTCCTCCACTAGATCTCCATGAAGAAATGCATTCTTCACATCTAGTTGGTGTAGCTTCCATCCACCATTTACTGCCAGAGAGATTAAGGTCCGAACAGTGCTCATCTTCGCCACCGGTGCAAAAGTCTCATCATAATCGATGCCATATGTCTGACTATACCCTTTTGCCACCAGGCGAGCCTTGTAGCGCTCAACTTGTCCATCTGGATTCTGCTTCACAGTGAAGACCCACTTGCATCCAACTGCTCTCTTTCCTTCTGGTAACTTTACTAGCTCCCAAGTGCGGTTCTTCTCTAGAGCTCCTAGCTCCTCGTGCATAGCCGCTTTCCATTTTGGGTCCTTCTTAGCAACCTGCCAATTGTTAGGTACAGTAACAGAGTCCAATGATGCAATGAATGCTCCATATGCAGGGTGGATACTAGAATATGATACATACTGGGCAAGATCCCAACCATATCTATCGGGAGGATGTCCCGCATTACTGCGAGTAGTCCTCCGTACTGATATTGGTGTGGGAGGAGTAGGGAGAGGAATGTTATCAGTAGGAATGTTATCACCTTGGGATGAAATTGGTGGTGGTGTAGGTATTTCAGGAGTCGGGGTGGGCTTTGGCAAGAGACTTGGCAGCACTAGTGGCACTGTAGGTACTGTTTCTCCAATTTGTTTGCCCTTCCTACTATAGGTTAGTAGCTCCCCCTGAACAGTGGGCCTAACACCTCTTGTCTCTTGTTCCTTTTCTTCGTGATTCTCCGGCTCCTCCTCAACCAACTCCTCCTCAACCAATTCGCCCTCCCAAGGAATCGATACAGAAATGGATTTCTCCACATTGTTCTCCGGTCTCTCACCATTCTCCTCCTCTCGCCCCATACTTCTAGTATTGGACGAGTTACCAGCAGATGAAGTTACCTTCTGAGTGTAATATGGCTCGAGTTCTCGAAAGTGCACATCCATGCTCACAAACAACCTTTTTTCCACCGGGCTCCAGCAAACATATCCCTTCTGAGTAGCAGAATATCCCACAAAGATACACTTCACAGCTCTAGGGGCAAGCTTCCCGACAGACGGCCTGTTGTCCTTCACAAAACACACACAGCCAAACACTTTGAGTGGAAGGATCCCACCATTATCTCCTTTCAATATCTCACACGGAGACTTCCAATCCAGCACTCTCGAGGGCATTCTGTTGATCAACGCTGCTGCGGTCAATACTGCTTGTCCCCATAATGTCTCTGGGACATTCATAGAGATCATCATGCTTCTAGCAACCTCTAAAAGATGTCTGTTCTTCCTTTCCGCTACCCCATTCTGTGCTGGAGTGTATGGACAGGTTGTCTGGTGATGTATTCCTTGAGCTGACAAATATTCTTCAAGGGCTCTGTTGGTATACTCTGTCCCATTATCTGACCTCAATACTTTCACCACTGCTCCGTATTGAGTCTGAACAGTCTTATGAAAATTTTGGAAGCACCCAAACACATCACTCTTATTCTTCATCAGGTATAACCAAGTAACACGAGAGAAGCAATCAATAAATGTAACAAAATATTTGTATCCATTCATAGAACTTGTGGAACAAGGCCCCCAAACATCTGAATGTACCAGGTCAAATGCATGAGAACTTCTATGACCAGAACTAACATAAGAGCTTCTAGTAAGCTTTCCCAACTCACATGCATCACACACAAGTTTCTGTTTATTTGCTTTCTCAAATAAAGAAGGATACAATCTACCTAAAACACTAAAGGATGAGTGTCCCAAACGCTGGTGATGGAGCATTAACTCATTTTCAGCACTCATTTTAGATCCTACTCCTGCTTCCTCTATGACTGACACCAATGCTGAATCCAGCCCTTCACGATCCAGATACCACAGTCCACTACGCCATGTGCCAGTCCCAAGTCTCCGCCCTGTCCCCTTCTCCTGGAAGATTACCTTGGGAATATCAAAAGAGACGATGCATTTTAGTTGGAGGATGATAGAACTAATAGATAAAAGATTGACTGGAAAAGAAGGAGCATGCAAAACATTGGACAAAGTTACAGAACCAGTACAATCAACTGTACCCTTACCAACCACCGGCTGAAATGTACCATCAGCTGTTTGAATACTATCAGGCGATGCTAAGTGAGTATATGATGAGAACTCACTAGCATTACCTGTCACATGACAAGACGCACCGGAGTCGACTATCCATGCTGATGATCTGTCAGGAGACATAGAAGCAAGAGCATGTATGTCATCAGTACCTTTGTTCGGATGAGCATAGGTAGCAGTGTTGCCTCTGACGAAGAACGAAGTAGATGCCTCCGCAGTCCCATTCCTCAAATCTCCATCCCCTGCTACTTGCTGTTTTTTCCTGAGTATCGTGAGGAGAGCACGATCCTCCTCTGTAAAGACCACCTCAGCTTCTTCTTCTTCTGCTACCGTCAGATTCGCCCGATTCCCTGCTCCTCTTCCACCTCGTCGACCCCCACGGCCACGACCACGACCTCCGAACTGTCCACGTCCACCCGAATCTCCATCCTTGGATGGCTTGGTGCAAGCATGCCGTAGATGACCCACCGCACCGCAGTTATAGCACTGTCGAGTCTCTCTCCTAGATCCAGTGTTGCTAGAGGCTGTCAGTGCTGACTTCACCACAGGAAGTCCACCTGTCCCCGCCTGCAGCCGAATGCGAGTCTCCTCCTGGATCATAGCAGAGATAGCCTCCTCAAGCGTGGGAATCTTCGGCTGAGCTAGGAGCAATGCAATTCGCTGAGCGAACTCTGATGTCAATCCCTTAAGAAACACCATAGTCCTCTCCTGTAGAAAGGCCTCCCGCTCTTTACATCCCGGTCCTTGCAGCTAGCCGGGAGAGAAATGATCATAATCAGCAACAGCTTCCAATCTGTAGCAATTCTGTACAGTCCTTTCACCCTGGACGGGGTCGGATTCCTTCTTTAATCCTGGAATACCCCAGGTTATTCCCACTATCATACTCTTCTTCCTTCTCCCAGACGTCCTTCACTCTTCAATGCCATCACTGTGCGGCGCGTCGGACTAACGATGAAAGCAGATTACACCAACATATAGTGGCTTCATTCATCTCTTCCCTCCGAGTCTCCCTCGGTTGTCGCCTCTCATGTAGTAAGCTCAGTTCTCCCGGCAAGGGGTCATCGCACCCGTCGCGACAGCTAGGTTAAGTACTCGTCATCAACTCAATAGATGGTCGAAGCTACAACATTCTTCGATTTTTGTCCAGCCATCCCCCGACAACTTCATTAGCTATCAAAGTGGACACCTCCGCTGGTCATACTTCTTGATATCCCCTCCATCGATAGGCTTCAGACCACTGTACTTCCTTCCGACCCTGTGTTGGTGCTGTAAAAATTTCGGCAACACCTCTGGCTGCATCACTAAGATAGGAGCAAACAAATTCTCGTATCTCAGAGAAACAAGAATGTAAACCATTATATACTCAGTCGATGTGAAGATATAAACTCTTCTGTCTCAGTTTCGAGGAATGATCAAGGAACCATGCCAAACTCAGAGGTCAAGCATAGGCAGCAAGCGCGGAAAGGTCTGAGGGGGGGCTATGAAATTGGCTCGGGTCAGGGGGAATCGAAGTCTCCGAAAGGTCTGAAGGGGGGGCTGTTTGGATCGGAAAAAACAGGGGGGGGGGTTCGCTGGTCAGGAGTTTTCAGGGGTTCGCGTCAAGGGGGGGGGGGTTCGTTGTCAGGTGGATCGGGTCAGAGGAGAGGAAAGGTCAGCGAAGTGGGGCGGTCTGCTGGTTAGTGTGGGCGGCGGAAGTGGGGGGAGGGGGCGGCGGCTAGGAGAGAAGAGGGGAGGCAGCCGGCTCTGATACCATGAAGAAATGAAAACCCTAATTCATTATGATATCTCTTGGGCTTTATATAGGCCCCTACAAATCTTACAAATAAGTCCCTAATAATACTAATATGTCAACAAATATTATGTTCTACAGGAGTGCTTTGGGCCAATAGTTGACAGCGTGACAAATAAGGACCTTCTTCGGGCAATGGTCTATGGGTAGGACAACCATAATCTTTGTTCTATGATTTTATTGAGTAACATGAACTTAATATGAGTGTTTTATTTCAATTTTCTAATTCTCATCTAGTTATCTATATATGCGTGTGTACTGATTTACCATGCAGAGAAAAGTTCTCTGAAGAAAGAGACTACACAGGGATGTATTGTGCAGTGCTAACTGTGAGGTATAATTTGATAATTATGTAGGTATTATTTTGTCATTTTAATATGTTACTCTGAGATTCTTATCAGCTGGTGAAAGTTTTTGCAGTTCTTATGTTCAGTCAGCTGGCATTATACGAGTTTTGGGAAATGAAGTCGCAGAACTTCCCCTGGTTGCAACAAGACAGGGCAACCAAGGAGTGGTGAGTAAGATTTATTATGCTTTTATTTCCTTATTATATTTGTTATAGGTTTTTTTATACTTCTCAGATGCAGGAAAAGATTATCTTGTAAAACTTAAATTACCTCCACCCAAGGGAACCGCAAACAAATCACACATGCACTCCATCTTGAGCTCTAAAGTCTAACCCATGCCAGCGCAATGCTGGAGCAACGAAAACGGCTCTCTTTTATTTACATTTTATGAAAATAACAGTTGTAGGCTTAGCTCCTTCTCGAATATGTGAGATGAAAGGCCATGAAGTTACATCTGTATATTAGTTGAAAGCATCATTTGAATTGTTTGCATTTATCTATCAATATGAATTTTGAACTCAAATTAGCATGAGGAAGACTGATGATAATTTTTTTTAGAGAGCCCGCAATATCATAAATTGATGTTTATAATATTGTGGTTCATCTGTGAATCCCATCTTTCTTAGACAGTGTTTAGTTTCTGGTGTTCTGTAAGCTATCTAAATTCCAAATAACATAGTCAAGCTAATGTAAATCAATTAGTAAGTATTTACAGACTATACTTTAATTGTTCACAGTTTGTTATCCTTAAAACTTGTGGACAATTTTCTCTTTGCTATTTGTAGTTGTTTCTAGTTTAAAGATGGTAATTTACGATGTTCCTTTTTCTCAGTAAATATAATGTTAATTGCAGATAGACTCCCTTTACTACGGTGATGTAGTCATTTATGCCCCCTAAAACTTTTATTAGCACTTACGCAACCTAAACCTCAGACGACGTTGTTCTTTATTTAGTCCTTTTTTCCATGCCAAACTGAGGAGACAATTAGGTGATATACAGTGGTTATGCCCTAAATAGTATAGGTATTGTGTCTGCAGTTAACCTATAAATACACATGGTAGCATTGTACGATGTAAATTCATAAATACTTGCAGACTGATGGTTCTTGTTTCCTTTTTTCTAGGGTTACTTTGGAGCATTGTTCTCATGCCTAGAGAAGCTTTTGGCATCCCTACAGGTTAAGCATCTCATACTTCCTTCTGTAGTGGAAACTGAATCCATTTGGACTCGGAAGTTCGGCTTCTCACGTGTTACACAGGACTATGTAAGTTTCTACCTAGTTTCTAGGGTTAATTGCAGATACTCCTTTGAAAAAGGGGGAAAAAATGAAAAAAATTGCTCTCTAAATTAAAAGGGTTAACTGCATAAGATCCCCTGTAGTATTAATTAATTGCTGTTTTAATTGAACTTATTAACCTTGCAATATCACTGTTTTTTATTCTTTTACCCTCAGATAGACTCACTACGTACCTTCACCCCCCGTGTGGGTACTATCTTCCAAAATTTCACCCATGGTTAAAGTAGCAAAAAAAAAAAAAAAAAAAAAAAAAACCAGGGGGTCTATCTACCACATGTGGATAGTGTTGGGACAAACCCGGGGCCTAATAGAGTAGGATCGCAGCAATAGTAGAGCAAAAGTAGAGATAAAAAGTTGGACACACAGATTTACGTGGTTCGGCACTTGATTGTCTCGTCCACCGGCAAGGATAAAAGAATCCACTATGAGAAGAAAACTCTGGAGTTACAATCTCTCTTTACAATGAGATACTCTCTCTCTATTTTTTCTCTCTCACTCTTCTATAAGAGAAGTTGTTTCTGGGATGAGTTTTTCTTTAAGGATTTGAAGCCTATTTATAGTGTTTGGAAAAAAATACTATGCATAATAAAATATTAATATTACAATATGCATCTTTTGAAATTTCCAAACTCGATGCCTAACCCAGTGCATTTTTCAAAAGTGGGGCCCATTCTTTTGCTTTTGGTCAAAAACATGGGCTGCTGGTTTCGGTGCCTGACAATCTCCCACTTAAAGATTTGATTGGGTATCACTCATATCTTCACATTATTTTTTCTATCTTACCATCTTCATGTTGCTTTACGTCTCTGACAGACCACAAGAGGATCGATACCAAATAAATTTGTCAGTATTGACTGCTTTTGTTAAGAAATCTGCTAGGTTGTCTTCGGTGTGAATTTTCTGTATATCCACTGTTCCTTCTTCCACTTTTTCACGAATGAAGTGATACTGAACTCGAATGTGTTTGGTCTTTGAATGAAATGCTGGATTTCTTGCCAAATGCAAAGCACTCTGACTGTCACAAAATAGAGAAATCTTCTTTTGTTCATGGTCGAGTTCCTCCAACACCATCTTCAACCACATCGCTTCTTTACTGGCTTTTTTGTTCATGGTCGAGTTCCTCCAACACCATCTTCAACCACATCGCTTCTTTACTGGCTTGTGTAGCTATTACATATTCTGTTTATGTTGTTGAAGTAGGCACAACTGACTGTATTTTTGAAACCCAGCTTATAGCTCTGCCGGCGAGTGCAAACACATAGCCTGTGGTGGATTTGCTATTATCACGATCACCTGCATAATCAGAATCAACATATCCACTAATAATAAAATCAGATCCCCCATAACATAATGTAACATTTGAGGTTCCTTGAATGTATCTTAGAACCCTTTTTACAGTATTCCAATGCTCTTTACCAGGATTCGCCATGTATCGACTAACCACTCTCACTGCTTGTGCAATGTCTGGTCTTGTACAAATCATCGCGAACATTAAGCTTCCCACTGCTGATGTGTACGGTACTCGAGACATCTCCATCCTCTCTTCTTTACTGCTAGGACTCATACCGGAGGATAACTTAAAAGTAACAGGAAGTGGATAGAAATTGACTTACAATCTTGCATGTTAAAGCGCCACAAGATTTTCTTCAAATAGTTCTTCTGAGAAAGCCAAATCTTCCTATTAATCCTGCATCGATAAATTTGCATCCCTAGAATCTTGTTTGCAGATCCTAAATTCTTCATTTCAAATTCCCTAGCCAACTGAGCATTTATTTCTTTGATACGATCTTTGTTGGGGCCTGCAACCAACATATCGTCAACATACAATAATAAGATAACAAAATTATTTTTACCAAACCTCTTAAAATATGCACAAGGGTCTGAATTAAGTCTGTTGTATCCAAGGCTCATGATGAATGAATCAAATCTCTTGTACCAACACCTCGGCGCCTGCTTTAGACCGTACAGAGATTTGTTCAATCTGCAAACCGAGTTCTCTTTTTCTTTTTATTCAAAACCTTCTGGTTGGAGCATGTAAATTTCTTCTTTAAGTTCTCCATGAAGAAATGCTGTTTTCACATCTAGCTGCTCTAGATGTAAGTCAAATATAGCGCTCATAGGCAGGACTATTCGGACTGTTGTAAATCGAACTACAGGAGAAAATATTTTATTAAAATCAATACATTCTTTCTGAGCATATCCTTTTACCACCAATCTAGCATGATATCGTTCCACTTGATCATCGTCATTTCTCTTGATTTTGTAGACCCATTTGTTTCTAATGGTCTTTCTTCCTTGTGGCAATGACACAAGATCCCAAGTCTTGTTCTTATAGAGAGCTTCAATTTCTTCCTGCATTGCTGTCATCCACAAATATGCATCTGTGTCATTTATAGCTTCATGAAAAGTTGATGGCTCTCCATCTTCTGTTAGAAGACAATATGTAACATTACTCTCTGTAATATACTCCGAGTGCCAAGTCGGTGGTATTCTCTCACGAGTTGACCTTCGAACTTCTGGAACCTCGGACTCGAATGGTTCTTATACATCATGCTCCGGTGTTGCTTCAGAAGAATTCAGATCATCTTTTACCTGAACAGTTACAGTCTCTAAGTCCTTCCCTGAACTGTTTTTTTTCTCTTCACTTTGTAGTTGGTTCTCTACAAAGATAACATCTCTGCTGATGATAACCTTATGGGCAATGGGATCCCACAGGCGATACCCCTTTACTCCATCAGCATACCCTAAGAATAAGTATTTTCTAGATTTTGAATCCAGCTTTGTAATTTCTTGGGCATTGTACATTACGTACACTGGACTTCCAAATATATGAAGGTTGGAATAATCAGTTAGTTTTCCAGTCCACATCTCCATCGGCGTCTTCAATTGTATTGCAGTTGATGGAGATCGATTCACTACATAACATGCGGTTTTTACTACTTCCGCCCAAAAGACTTTATCCAGATTTGCAGTTGCCAACATAGTTCTTATTCTTTCCAACAGAGTTCTGTTCATCCGCTCTGCCACTCCATTTTGTTGAGGAGTATAAGTCGTACTGAATTGTCTTTTGATGCCTTCATGCTTACAGAATGCTAGAAATTCACCGTCTGTGTATTCTCCTCCATTATCTGATCTCAAGCACTTGATCTTTTTTTCATATTCAAGCTTGACCCGCGCTTTGTAGGCTTTCAAGACTGAGAACACATCCGCCTTCTTCTTGATAGGATACATCCAATATCTCCTGAAGTAATCATCAATAAAGGACACAAAGTACTTTGTTCCTCCCAAGGATATAACCGGTGCTTGTTATACATCAGAATGAACCAGTTTTAGAATAGCCTTGCTTCTAGAACTCGATGTGTTGAACTTCAGTTGATGTTGTTTATTTGTAATACAATACTCGCAGAATAAAAGAGCTACCGAATTAAGTCCAGGAAGCAGCTTCTGATCGGAGAGAATCTTTAAGCCTCGTTCTGACATGTGGCCTAGTTTGTGATACCACATCATGATTTGTTTTTCTCCATGACTGGTTGATGCTACACATGAATCAGCTTCCTGCAGGGTTTCTCCCTTGAGCGTGTACAGATTTGCACCTATCTTTTCTCATTTTATTACCACAAATGCCCCTCTAACAATCTTCATGATCCTATTTTCGATATGGGTCTTGCACCCAGGCTCATCTAATTGTCCTAAAGCCAATAGATTCTTCTTCAAGCCCTTCACATGTCGCACATCTTGAATGGTGCGTATTATACCATCAAACATTTTGATTTTGATAGTGCCAATACCAGAAATCTTTAAGGTATGATCATTTCCCATGAATACAGATCCTCCTGAAATAGGTTCATATTTGTGAAACCATTCTCTCCGGGAGGTCATGTGCCAGGAGGCTGCTGAATCCAGAAGCCAGATATCAGCAAACCTCTTTCTGCCTTCATCAACAGTGATTGCTCCACTGAATAGAATTTCACCATCGTCTGATGTGCTGACAACACATCATTGAGATGTTGATGGCTTTGAAAACTTTTTATCTTCACTATTCTTATTGTGCTAACACTCCGATTTAACGTGCTCTCTTTTGTCACAGTTGTATCATTTGATATTCTTCTTACTTCATGATTTTGATCTACCATGGGTATGACTCCCGCTAGAACCATGTTTCGTTGATCTTCCTCTTGTCACCGTTAAAGCCTCTGCTTGTTTCGAACTTGCATGCTTGTCTTCCTTGTTCTTGCGCCGGTTTTCTTCCTCCAGAACAGCGGCTGCAACATCGCCGAAGACTAAATTGTCCGTGAGGACGTTGTTTGTCAGGTTGATGATGAGTTGATCATACGAGTCAAGTAGACTCTGAAGTAGAAGTTCTGCACGTTCATTCACACTAACTATATACCCTAACGTTGTGAGTTGGGAGAACAATGTGTTTAGGGTGTTGATGTGATCGGTCATCGATGTAGATTCCGCCATCCTCAGAGTGTAAAGTCTCCTTTTTAAGAAAATTTTGTTGTGCATGGATTTCGCCTCATATAGCTTTGTTAGAGTATCTCAGATCTCCTTTGTTGTCTTCTTCTCCATTGTGCATGGATTTCGCCTCATATAGCTTTGTTAGAGTATCTCAGATCTCCTTTGTTGTCTTCTTCTCCTCTATGCTTGACAGCACTCATATAGCTTTGTTAGAGTATCTCAGATCTCCTTTGTTGTCTTCTTCTCCTCTATGCTTGACAGCACTCCGTCTGCTAATGCCAGATGAAGATTTGCAATAGCCTTTTTGTTCATCTCGTTCCACTTCTTATCATCTATGATGTCGTCCAGCATTACACTAATGGCCGTTAGGCAATTATCTTTTCTCAAGATAGCCTTTATCTTCAACTTCCACAGTGAGAAATTACTCCAGTCGAATTTCTCGATCTTAAACTTTGCCGTCATTGCTTCTACCACGAACAGTAACTTCTTACTATTTTACGTAAATAGTAACTGTATTTATGAATAATAACCGTATCTGTGAATAGTATCATACTTGTGAATAGTACCGTATTTTTAAACAGTACCATACTCGTGAATAGTGCCCTCACCTTCAAAGGGTAAATGATAACCTAACTTATTTTCTGATATGGAGGATCCATCTTTGGTGGCAGTCACAGAGCATACGATAGGTAGATATATATAAACACCTTAAGTTGGTTCTGATACCACTTGTTGGGACAAACCCGGGGCCTAATAGAGCAGGATCGTAGCAATAGTAGAGCAAAAGTAGAGATAAAAAGTTAGACACACAGATTTACGTGGTTCGACACTTGATTGCCTACGTCCACGGGCAATGATAGAAGAATCCACTATGAGGAGAAAACTCTGGAGTTACAATCTTTCTTTACAAGGAGATACTCTCTCTATTTTTTTCTCTCTCACTCTTCTATAAGAGAAGTTGTTTCTGGGATGAGTTTTTCCTTAAGGATTTGGAGCCTATTTATAGTGTTTGGAAAAAAAACACTATGCATAATAAAATATTAATATTACACTGTGCATCTTTTGAAATTTCCAAACTCGGTGCCTAACCCAGTGCATTTTTCAAAAGTGGGGCCCACTCTTTTGCTTTTGGTCAAAAACGTGGGCGGCTAGTTTCGATGCCTGACAGATAGTAAGTTCAAAACAATGAGACTATAGGGGATCTGTGTGCAAGCTAACAAAATAGTTTTAGGGGATATAAGTGATATACATGTGGTGTATCTGCTATTAACCCTAGTTTCTTTAGATATATTTCGAGATTTACGTGCATGAAATTGCAAATGATTCACATCATCACATATTTACAGCTCAACAACCATTTAAAGGGAGTCAGGCTCACTACATTTGAGGGAACAACGTTGTTTTGGAGACCGGTTTCAGGTTCTTTTTGACATGAAATTAAGCCTGAAGAAATTGTAATTGCTGGAAAGCAAATTCTTTTGTAGTGTCTTTAAACATTAGCTCCATCTTGAACGGTTTACTGAAGTTTTTCCTCTTCTCTTCTTATTTTGCTTTTTGTTTTTTTTTATGTAAAAGAAAAGGGAGAAACAAAGGGAAGATAGTTTGTTAACCTGTGTTGGGTGAAAATGTATGAAATTTGGAAGCAAACTGGCTTATCTTCATGATACCTAATTGTTTTGATTCTTGATTTTTTCCCCCTACTTTTTAAACGTTTGTGCTCTAGTGCCATCAATGGAAACGAGAGGTCAATGAAGTAGATCTGCTACTACATGTAGAGCCGGTCCTGGGTTTTCTAAGGCCCAGGGCAAATTTTCTCAAAGTGTGCCCCTTTATACAAATTAAACAAATAAATAAATAAATTATCAATTAATTAATTTTATTAAAATTATAAGATTTTACAAAATACAAGAAAAACACTTTGGGGCCTCATTAAAACCTTGGTTGGGGAAAACCCAATGGGACAAAACCCCAAACAAAGGAAAAAGAGTACCCCGGATTGTAAACATTGCATTAAAAAACAAAAACTACATATTTGAGTCTACATGCTTCTTCCTAAATCTCCATAAGCATTTCTTGATTTGATCAATCTTTTTTTCATCCTCCACAATTAATCGAAGCAAAGAATCATCACATGTACCTACAAAATAAAAATAGCAATGAAATCTCAACTACAAAACATCATTTAAAATGTCTTCTTGTTGCACTTTTAGATACAAAATCATCAATTATACTATCATATTTAATGTTCTCTAACATATCCTTTTCAATGCATAATATCGCTAATCCATTTAGTCTATCTTGAGTCATGGTGGTCCGCAAGTAAGACTTCAATAATTTTAATTTAGAAAAACTTCTTTCAGCAGATGCCACAGTCATAGGTATAGTCAATAATATCCTATAAGCAACCATTACATTAGGAAACATATCCACACTCTTTACAAACTCAAGAATTTTAATGGATGTCCATGGTTTATCTGTTTCATATGCTTCTTTTGGTAACATCACTTGCAACACCTATAATTCTGAAAATAAGTCTCTTGCATCAACATCGGAAACATCACCATGTTTTAAAGCATTTTCAAGATTCACACAAAAACTTTTTAATTCATTATCATCAAGCGAAGTCAATTTTGCAGCATCAAATAAGAACCCAAAAATAGATTCAAAACAACGCAATTGTTCAAACCTACTCTTCAATTCACCAAGAGCAATATCCACTATAACAAGAAAATAATCAGTTCTAAATGATTCTTCAGCTGATTGTTGTTCCCTATCACTATTGGAAACCTCATCAAAATGCCTTTTTCTACAAACTTGACGTTTTTTTGGAAATATAGGTTCCATTCCCATATCAAGTGAAATTTGTTTAGCATCAATCATGGCAGAAACAAACCCATTTATTCTATAGTTTTCAAAAAATAACACAAGTCCTTCTAATTGTCTTACAGCAGCATCGAGACGCATGTCTTCAGATTGTAACTTTTTACTAACTAAGTTAATCTTATGCAAAATGTCATGCCAAATAACCAAACTTAATATAAATTCAAAACTTGAAAGCTCTCTTGATGCTAAACATTGAGCATTTCTACTCAATTTGGCATCTTCACTAATTTCTGTTAATTTAAATAAAGCTTCTCTAATTTGGGAAGCTTGAGATTTTATTGCTTTGACACTTTCAATGTGACTTTCCCAACGTGTAGTTGACAATGATTTCAAAGTCAAACCATCTATGTAATCAAGTAACACATTCCATCGCTTTGTTGAATTAGAGAATACCGTATATATGCATTGACATGCTCCAAAAAAAGATTTTGCTTTAACACATGAGTTGGCCATATTACAAACTATTAAGTTGAGACAATGAGAATCACATGGCATGTAATGCTCTAGGATTTATATCAAGTAATCTTTTTTGTACACCTAAATTTTTTCCTTTCATATTAGAGCCATTATCATAACCAACTATTGGCAAATAATTTCATGGAGATAGAATTCAGGATTTTATGAGTTATAATCCATAATTTTTAGATATTTTTAATACTAATTGGCAAATGCTTTTGTAGAGTCCTAAACATGATTCCTTGAGCTAGAACTTGTGATTTTGGCCATTTTTATTTGTCTCAACCCATTGTCAAATAATTTCTTAGAGACAAATTTTCATTATTTCATGAGCTATTACTCACGATTTTTTGGTCATTTTTATTTATATCCACCGATTGACAAATAATTTTATGGAGTTCAAATTCATGATTTCATTAGCTACTATCCACGATTTTTATAATTTATATTCATTTTGACTTATTGACAAATAATTTTTCACAAAGTCCAAATTCATGATTTCATGAACTATAACCCATAATTTTTTATTGTTTTTATTTATTTTGGCCCACTAGCAAATAATTTTGTGGTGCCTAAAATTCATGAATTCATAAGCTATTACTTACGATTTTGAATATTTTTAGTTATTTAAACCCATTTTTAAATAATTTCTCAAAGTAAAAAAATTTATTTTTTAATGACCAATTGCATATGATTATTTGTCATTTTTATTCATTTCATTCCACTAGCAAATAACGTCACGAAGGCTAAAACGCATGATTTCATGAGTTATAACCCATATTTTTTTGCCATTCTTAGTCATCTCAACCAATTGCTAAATAATTTCACTGGATGCTATGTTCGAGCTTTCAAATGCTGTGTTTGAACGCAGAATTCATGCGAGAACGCAATTCTTACGTTTGACTAGTTCAAACACGAGCTGAATGGTTTCAAAACCATTTTCCCACGAACTGAGGGGATCACAACTCTACTCAGGAGTGATTTAAGGGGCGGTTACATCCCATAAGCCCCACAAAAGGAGCGATTTTAGAGACGGTTACACCCCCTAATCGCCTATAAATAGCTAAAAGATCAGCTTAGTTCGGATTTTTTTAGATCTTTTGAGCATTTTTGGATCTAGAGATCAGCAAAGGGCTTCTTCAATCATCCGATCTGGAAGCATTCTTCGGCAACAGAACTCCTTGGAGTCTTTGTACTTGGCTTATTAACCGAATTTCGGTTCAAATCAACTCTACTACAGAGTTTAAACTCACACGGAGTTCTTAAACTCATTAAGAGTTATTTTCAAACTTGCCACCCTAGTTATCCTCGACATCAATCAAGAGGATTCAATCGTGTTCCACGAGGTTTAAACATCGGATCATCAACGAGAAACAAACTCGACGCGAGTTTTGAGGAGACATCTCATCGACACCAAGAAGAACCCAGTTTTAAATAAAGGGGAGGATCTCTGTCGATCCTCTTCTCTTTTGTAAATCGGGAAACCGATCGAGAAGATTTGCAATTTCTTTTTCTAAGTTTGTTAGAGAGAAATTTTATCGAGAGAATTGTAATTAATTCTTTTTCTGAGTTTGTCAGAGAAATTAATACAAATTCAATTCTTGATTTCTTCTTTGAATTTTCCCAACAAACAATTAGCTATTTTTATTCATTTTGATTTATTGGGAAAATTTTTTATCAAATCCAAAATTCATGATTCTATGAACTATAACCCACGATTATTTGCCATTTTCAGTCATTCAAATAATTGACAAATGATTTTGTGGAGGCCAAAATTTATGATTTCATGAGCTATAAATCTGCAACTTTTAGCTATTATTATCATTTTGACCCATTAGCAAATAATTTCGTGGTGTCCAAAATTCACAAATTCTTGAGCTATAACCTATAATTTTTGGTTATTTTAAGGTATTTTAATTTTTTTGGCAAATAATTTCACGGAAGTAAAAAATTCATGATTTCATTAGCTATACCCCACAATTTTTAGACGTTTCTCATTATTACTACCCGTTGACAAATAATTTTATATACACCAAATTCACAATTTTATGAGCTATAACGCATAATTTTTAGCCATTTTTGATAATTTCTACCCACTGGCAAGTAATTTCGTGGAATCCAAATTTTATGATTTTATGAGTTGTATGCCATAATTTTTTATTTTTTTTATCTTTTTGATCCATTGGCAAATACTTCTGTGGAGTCTAAAATTTATAATTTCATGAGCTATAACCCACAATTTTTTGTCATTTTAAACTATTTTGACCTATTGGCAAATAATGCTGGAGAGGCCAAAATTCGCTATTGCATGAGCTATAAGCCTTAATTTTTGGCTTTTTTTAGTAGTTTTGACCAATTGGTAAATAATTTTATGAAATTTAAATTCAAGATTTCATGAGCCATTGCCTAAGATCTTAGTGATTTTTATTATTTTTTAGCATTTTAACAAATAATTTTTCAAATGGCTAAAATTTATGATTCAAGACCTATAACCCATGATTTCTTTGCTATTCTTATACATTTTAGCCTGTTGATAATTTTTTTTGAGGGGGCCAAATTCATGATTTCATATGCTATAACTCATGATTTTAACAACTCTTAGTTATTTCTACCCATTAGGTAATTAATTTCACGGAGTCCAAAATTCACGATTTCATGAGCTATGACCCATGATTTTTGGCTATATGCACTATAGCCCATTTGCCAATAATTTCATCGAGGCAGAATTTAGGATTTTATTAGTTGTCAGCTATGATTTTTGGCATTTTCTAATCATTTCTACCCATTACCAATTAATTTTATGGAGTTTAAAATTCATAATTTTATAAGTTATAACTTATGATTTCTTTGCTATTTTTATTTGTTTTGACCCATTGGAAAATAACTTTGTGGATTCTAAATTCATAATTTCATGTGCTATTACCTACGAATTTTGGCTATTTTTATTCATCTTGAATCATTAGCAAGTAATTTGGTAGAGTTCAAGTTTAAGATTTTATAAGCTATAATCCATAGTTTTTTGTCAATTTTATCCATTTTGACCCATTAGTAAATAATCTTGCAGAGTCCCAAATTCACGATTTTTACCTTTTTTAGTCATTTATACCTACTACCAAATAATTTCACAGAGTTTAGAATTCATAATTTTATAATTTTTACAATTTTTAGTTATTTCAGCCCATTGGCAAATAATTTCTCGGAGTGAAAATTTATGATTTTATGAGCTATTGCCCATGATTTTTTAACATTTTATTTATTTCGACTCATTGATAAATAATTTTGTTGAGTCCAAAT